CGCTACTAGGGGCTCCTGGCATCGCTACTAGGAACAAGGACGCTACTGCTACTAGATGAATTTCGCCAATCGGTCAGGAAGCCCAGGGAAAGGCCAAAGTTGCTGCGTGAGCTACAGTTGGTGCGAGTCCTCCAACGCAGAGCAGATGTGGCATCGGTTGATGAACTATGACAAAGGGAACTATCTTATGGCCTGCACAGCCACTTACTGCAAACAGGACGTGTTGCCAGCAACTCTCCTAACTCAGAGCGGTTTGTTTGCCCAGATGATGGGTGAGAAGAAGATGCGGTTGGTGGAGAAAGCTACAAAGTGCAACCTCAGATTGATGATAAAGACTTTCCCCCTTTTTGCAGGGTTCGGTTGGTGCTCGTGAAGTGCAGTTGTACCTAGGAAAAAAACGCAATATGTAGACATGTTCAATCAACACCTGGAGTAAGTCATTGGTCCAGTCCTTCCCTAAACATGTAGGCTTCAACCTAATTCGATATGGTACTGCACTGTGGCTGGTCTGCAACATCTCAAAAAAGAAAGCTTTGCGATATCGCAGACGATGTTAAACCCAAAACCGACCCAGCGAGGAACCGACGGACTTCCCGACCTCACCGGTCTCGCCGTAGGAGACCGATTGTGGCATGGTCCACAAACACGCCTACAGCTTGCTCCATGCGGTGGAGATTGGTGGCTTCAGGTGATCCGGCAAAGATCTTCGTAGACGATGCGAGAGGTTTATATAGAGGTTGTGCGACAGGCTTGTGTGAATTTGTATGAGTTAGCAAGCATGTCTACCAGGGCCACATCCAGAATAGAAAGTTATAGATTGGACCATAGAGCTTTTACAATGGTTTTGGATGATTTTGGAGAAGAGCTGCCGGTCCGGGCTGTCAGCAGGCCCATGACCTGTCAAGTAGGGGGACAAATTCAACCCGGGCGTCGATACCCTCGACCATTACCGGATTTCTTAGCCCTGCCGGCCCGAAAGGTTTCCCCTAAGAGTTTGTGCAAGAAGACATCATACTCGAAACATGTGAACCATTGTGAACCTCTATCTCGTGGGGATCCAAAAATCTTACGGGTTCCCTAAGAAGCATCACCTTAATGGCCATTGTTTGCAAACAGCTTTTCTTTTAACGTGCACACCTGACTAGAGCTCCTCAAGGCTCGAGAAACACTACCACTGGTAGTCTATATACGTGAAAAAACTAGTTGAAGCATGAGGTTTGCTGGAGTTCGTTCGGAGCTGCTTTTGCAATTCCATTTGTTTTGAAATCGGAGTTTGCTTTTATATATATATATATAGACATATAATTAATAATGTATATCACCTCTTTCTGATCGCCCTGGGACCAGACCCCGATTCAAGGCTGGTGGCCTGTCGAAACCCTTGGGGCACCGACGCAGAGTGGAATGGCCCCTGGAGCGACCGGAGTGCGGAGTGGCGGGCGCACAAGGACATCGCCGATGCCTTGAAGGCCACAGTGGGGCCATAGTGCTTCTGCTGGAAGAAGAAGAAGAAGAAGAAGAAGAAGAAGATGATGATGATGATGATGTAGTTGAGGGTGAGGATGGCTTTAGTTGGGGTGAACTATTGGTTTGTTGTGAGTGAGAGAATCCATTAGCCAAGGTAGCTGTCAATGAATCAATCAATCAATCACAGCCTTTATGATCAAGAGGACGTGTCTCTTTCAAGCAACAGTTCTTTGCTTCTGCAGAGGCTAAAGTCTACTGTAGATTGGTGTCACATCTACATCTGGTTGTGGCTTTGGCGACATTCCTGTCGCAAGATTGCATCCCCTGCAGGTGGATTTCCAGACGGATGGCATTTTCTGGATGGATTACGAGGATTGGCAGTTCATCTTCGGACAAGTCAGAGTCATGAACTGTGGCCTGGAGATTTGTCACGTCGACGGATTGAGTGTCCTTGTGCGTGAAAGAGCATTGAAATGCATTGAATGTACTCAACAAATTGCACCTGCATTGGGAATTCAACACAGAACGCCCTTTGCCTTTCAGGAAGCAAGTAAGGACGTAGAACCACAGACCTGATGGGGGTTGCTGGGCATTCTCGGGAGACAAAGTCTTGGGTCAATTGAGTGGCCGCACAGCATCACATCGAGACCAGACCTCATGTTCCCTTTTGTGGGAAGGACGTAGCTACTAGTACGACATGGGTACTAGAGAGGAAGCTACTAGTAGCGATTAAGAAATTGGCTTGCTTTGGCTTCGACTGGGTTCATCTTCAAAATCTGGTTGGTCTTACTGACACAAGGCCTTTGGTGAAGAAGTCAACTCAGTTAAATTTGCCGCATTTAGTGCCAATCTGGCTCCAACATTCAGTATAAGGACCTGCGTATTTCCCAATGCCCAATGCTTGGTTGGGTTTTGGTCTTTTTGTGGTTCCCAGCGAGCTTGCAGTTTCGACCCAAGGCCAAATGCCCTCTACACGTGGAGCCTTTAAGAACACCTTCGTGGACACTGACGAAGACGGAGACGGAGATGATACAGTCATCATTCATGACGAGGCAGCTTGATTCCAATCATCAATAGCATCTGCACTTTTGCAACACAATCTTTACTTGGTCGCTGATGTAATTAATTACCAGAGAGGGAACCTTCTAGCAAACCGGTTTTGCTGCGATGCGGAAAATCAGTTTAGATACTGTAGACAATGTTGAGTCAACTGGGTGTGGTGTGCTGTGCATAGCCATAATGCTGAAGATGATCCTGAGTGAGAGGAGCCCACTGGTTGAACATAGACTCAGTCTTTTGGATTTCGGTTGCAGTACTTCCTTTGGTGCCTTAGCCAGGAAGATGATGAAGACTACTACGGCCAGATTGTTGGCTGCTGGGGACTTGGACCTTGGCACCAACCAACGAAGATGGAGGAGGGTATCCCCATCAACCCAGGCGCTTCAGCTCCAATAGCCGTGTCCTGTTGGGTCGTTGGGTTTGCTTTATGGGTCCCTGGGTGCTCGAACGAATGGTGTTGCCGGAAGTTCGATTTCATTTCTTTATGAGGATGCTTGTTTATCATGGACAAGATTAGGGAAACAAGACAGGTTTCTGGGCACGTCCAACCTCAGCCAACTTGTGGGTCCTATCAAGCTTGTAGCCCTTCCCGTTCATGCCGTGGGCGTTTGAAAGTTGTAAGAAACTTGAAGCACAGTTTCAAAATGGTGTTCAATGGCCAAAAACACTCCTGACAATTCGCCATGGAGCTACGCAAAAGGCACTGAACCAGGCCGAAGAAGCTGCAGTTGTGTAGACCCACCAGCTTGACTTGGATGTGGGTCGGAACTAGCCAAAACGATGGGTAGTGAACATTCTAAGATAGAGTTTGCTGCATCATCTACTGTACATTTGGTGGACATGATCATACTATAAATTCATTAGACATCGAATCAATAATCCTGCCTGCCGAAACCTGATCAAACCCCGACCAGAAGCTGGTAACTTGCACTTTGGAGCCCAATGGCAAATGGATTTTCTCTCCCCAGTATTTCACTTGATAAATGGACGATGCACCGACCGGGCGCCGAGAGTCTGAACAATCTTGACAAACCTTCGCAGTGAGGTAAGACATTGAGTGAGCTGTCGAGATGATCTCTTGCCCTTTTGCTTCTTGAGGTCAAAGCAAGGTGACCTTCAAGAATGTGCCTGCATATTTGAATGGCTACACCTACTTTGGCCTGAAGGAGTATGAGAGGCCAGACAACTGGATGATTGAATATTACCCTCCGGTGAAGATCTACATTTGGCTTATGGTGGACAACACCAACTCCTTGGACTTGGTGATGCTCCAACCCTCTCAAGGATGGACTCAAGAGCCTGCGGATGGCTTTCAAACCAGTGATGGGTCGCTTGGAGGGGTTCGCAGTTACTGTGTTTTTGTTCGCTGCCGGGTTCGCTGAGAGCTGACGTTCGGCCGGTAGAGCTGACGTTGCTGCCTGACGTTCTGGCCGAGTGCTGCGTGCACATTTGCATACACATGATCACCAGGTCGATCGATGGATGTTGTGTGAAACGTGCCTGGCAGGGCTGCGTGACATGGGCACTCTTAGGAGACTTGCCGCTTCACCTTTGGAAGTCTCGGAGGAAATTTGATGGGAGACTTGGAGGGAGTCGTTTTGGAGACTTGAGCGTTGGAGCTCTCGCTTTTGGACACATGAACTTTGGAGGAGGTCTATAAAATGCTTGCTCGGGAGACTTGACGCACTTGACGCGTGACTTGTGGAGGAAGGCTCCTATGAAACACTCGTTTTGGAATGCTTTTGAGACTTCTCAGTTTGTCTCTTGAGATTTTTGAAGGCCTGCACGAAAATTGAATTGCACATTTTGAAGACTTGACGCGCGGCTTTTGGAGGAAGTCTATGGAAGTCTTGCGCGTCGAGCTCAGAAGTGGCCACTCTGTAGTGCATAGTGCTAGGGGTGAGTGTCCCACAAGAGTGACTGTGCCTTGGAAGAGGGTTGCGCAGAAGGGTTGCACAAGATTGTGGGACGAACGTCCCGCAAAAGCCAGAGTATCCCAGTGTCGCGCAAGAGTGTCACACAAAAGAGTGTCCAGTAAGAGTGTCCTAAGAGTGTCGTGCAGAGTAAAGCAAGAGTGTCCCATCGCACACGTGTCTTACAAGAGGGTCACACAGCCTGAGACTTTTGCATTCGGATTCCTGGGTTTCATTTTGCTTTTCTCCGTTGGACCAATTGCTACGAGGTCTGGTTCGTTGTAGTAATGTGTGATGGATGTCCAATGGCATCTCAAAGCTGGGGCTGCCAACATAGTCTGTAAAATCTGTAAATGTCTTTCAGTTACCCTCCTGCACAGCAACAGCAACCTGCGGTGAGTGATGGCTTCACGCTGAGCCTCGTGAGTTGCTTGTGTCCCATTGCTGCTACTGAACAACTTCAACAAAAGAAGGTTCATTCCTGGATTCCTGGTCCTAGCATTTCCTGGCTTCTGTTTGGGAGCACCACCAAGAGGAAAGGAACTCAAATCAATTTTGGTTTCTTCTGGGAGCAAGGGACACTTGGAAGACCACCGTGGATGTGGGGATGTGGGACTTAGTCGCTGATTCTAAGATGCTGGGTGTGAACCATATTTTTCCGCCATCTAAGCAATTCCAAGGTACGACTTGATGGTCTTGAGCAAGGTCTTTCACGATTTTTGGCTTTGTATTTGTACTTTTTTTTTTTCTCAGTCTCCTTTGAGGCTCATTTGCAACACCCTTCCACCCTTACTGAACAACTATATAATTCCAGTTTTGAATCCCTGCTCCCTTTTTTGAAGGTTCCTCTAACATTTTGCCACTGCAATGTCGATCCCGTTCCAAGGAGGGCAAGTACACCGGGCTTCGTTCCACCAGTAACTTCGTGGGTGGCGCGATTGGTGCGCAACCGCCGCCCAAGCTGCCGAAGAGCCCTGACAGCGGGGACGATGTGGTGGAGGCGGCTGTTGGAGAGCCGATAAGCATGGGCACCGTCACAGAGTGCACGGGGTACCTGGAAAGCGTTTGATTGGGGGTTCGCGGGTGGGCTTTTAGTTGGGTCTCAGTGGCTGTGTAAAAATGACACAGTGATTTTTAGCTTCCCTTGGCAGTTCTTTTCTGGGTGTCTTTGAGCAGTGCTGATTTGGAAGGCCCAAGTGATGCCTGGTACCGGTTGGTGGAGAAAGTAATCAAATCAAGAGAACACCTTGGTGTCAGGAACTTCAGAGTGGCAGTTCTTTCTCTCTTGGTGGGCGACTGTTCCAACATTGTCCATTGTTTGTTCAATTAAGATAAGGTCGTGCTGAAATGTACTGTACTGACCCTACCCACATCGATTTGCAAAGAACCTGAGAATGAATCAGCACAGATTATGCCTTAAAACACCGATCCAAGCTTGTTGCTCAAAATGCTCTTGAAGGCTGCAATTGTGTATGTAGCATGCACTGACTGCACCACTCTTTTGTTGAAAGCACCACAGAAGAACCTATATACTTGTAGTTACATATATATATACATCATTGAATCATCATTATCGACAAACTGAACAGGAAAAGGACACTGCCAATGACGTTGAAGAACGATTGTTCCCGGGAACTGGCCTACTGGGGCTGATGAACATAGGTGGTTTTCGGATTAGTCCGGAAGTTGAGGCTGGATATCGAATGGAATGCCGGCGAATTGATGACTGAAGGCAGATTGGCTGCGGATTGGGTGGGGTGTGAGTCAAGACCTACAACCGCCGGTGAATTCCGCTGGAACAGTTTGGGTATGGTTTTGGGCCACATCCACGTGAGGAGCGCTGCAGTGACGTCAGGGCACAACAAATGTCTGAGTTGGGAATCTCGTTAGAGCGTAAGTGGAAGACATTCACCCACAGTTCCCCCTCTTGGTGCACAAGGGTGGTTTTGGGGTGGTCGATGGAAAGGATGATGGTGTTTCCTTTCTCAGATGGCAGGTGCAATGAGATTGAGCGCGCGAGAGAGAGAGAGAGAGAGGGGAGGAAGAGGAGAGAGAGAGAGAGAGAGAGAGGGAGGGAGGGAGAGGGAGAGAGGGACAGGGAGAGAGCGTCCCAAAATGAAAGCGGGAATGCACATGACCTGTTTTTTGTACTGAGGCACCTTAGTGAATCCGGGCGACCGTGATTACGTCTTCGAGAACGTCCCAGAATTCCTGGCCGGTGGCTGCTACATTGGCACTAGGACTTGGCCCCAGGCTGGTACCTGGACCATCAAGTTCCAGGCTCCAGTCAAGCTGTCGCTCGGTGTCGGGTGACTTTTGCGACTCGCGGGGCTCGCTTGATGCTTTTCAGGAAGAAAGTGGAAAAAGAGGTCTAGTCTAGAGACAGCTTTGATGGACCTTGAGGCAGGTTTTGTCGCCAAACTGGTAGGTAGTATGTATTTCAAGACTTGCGATTCTGTTGCTGAAGCTCCTCCTACTTGCAACAATCTACAATAAACTCGATTGCTTGGGTGGGTGAAGATAACACTTGTCTCAAATTCTACAATGATGCGTGTCACTTCCAAAAAGCAAGCGGCCAGTCGATTATTGAAAGCTATGTGTATATATTTATACACATGTCAAGCAGAAGAGGCGCCAGTGAATGACGCTGGTTCTTCTTCTTCTTCTTCTTCTTCGATGTTGCAATTGTTGCAGAATTGTTTGTTCGTTCTTGCAATGTGGGAGAGAAACCCAGGTATGTGTGGATCGAGCAAGGACAGTACAATGCTGGAGTCGACGATGCCTTGAGTGGAGATGGTTGGAACAAGGAGGAACCGGGCGACTTTCAACGCCGTGGGAAGAATGGCGTAAATCCCTTGGGCTTGTGGAGCAGGTTTTTCCCTGAAGGCGATTCCTACAGCACCTTGCACTGAAAGAACGCTGCAGAACAGAAAGAAGTGGATCCCCCGAAAGCCTGTGTGCATGGAAGGCTGGGTTGAACTCTCGAGAAGAGCCAACTGGGCCACCAGTGATCAATCCTCTCCCTGAATTCTGTCGGAGTGCCGCTGGGTTCAACAATCGCCAAAATCATCAACTGCAGAAGCCAAACAGGAGAAAGTCAAAACTCACAGCAATATCATTGTAGAAAACGTCATTTCTTTCTTTTCAGCCCGAAGCCTTCAAAACTGACCACAGATCAGGAAACCTCAAAGGGGACATCAGGGTTTCCCAAGACTGTGTGTCACCAATCACTAGACGAATCGCACCAATCCACATCAATCCACATCAATCCACATCAATCCACATCAATCCACATCAATCCACCAATCCATCTTTATCTGCGAAAACCGGGCCTAGCGGGGCCTTGATCAACCTTGATCGAGTTCCACTTGTTTGTTCCCTTGATCGAGGCATCGAGACGACCAGCCTCATGGTGGGCGGAGTCATTTCCAAGGCCCCGGAAACCGACTGAAGTCGAGGGAGCAGCCATGATGCCATGAATCTGAGAGGATGGAGTCGGATTAGTGTGAACGTTTAGAAAAGTTATAATGTAAACAATTTAAGCATCTCAAGAATGAAGAGCAGAGAAGTCGTCACCCTTTTTCTGATTCTTTTAAACATCCGTTTGACATCGCTCCAGCTATTTTTTCACCAGTCCGACAATTTGTGAGCAATATCCTGAGATGTGTTGTCTCACCATTTCAATGCAGCTGTGGAAGCTGCCGCAGCTGCTGTTCCAGCTTATGTCCTGTTGAGGGACACCACTGCTAAAGGCACTGGGCTTGTTTCGTGTGCAGTTTCAAAGGCTGTGAGTGCGAGTAAGTGTATGTCAGTCCGGGGGTCGGGCGATGTAGTTTGTAATGTGTTCATGCTGATATATATATATATATAAATAACTGACAAAACCGTGCAATGACCTTCCTTGAGCATGTTTCATGTTGCACGCCTCAGAGGATCCTCGAGCCTTGTTACCCTTTTGCCCTGAAAACTGTGTCCTCGCAGCGCGGTTCATGGTTTTGACGAGTTGGCACCGGAGCCGTTGTTAGAGGCTTCTGAGTGCTCCCTTCGATGCCGCGAGCGCGGCATGTGTTCGACATGACTGTCGATGACTCGGAGGACCCTGACCAGATGCAGGAGGAATGGTTGGACTATGACTTTGATCCTGCCTCCCTTGGTCATTCCTCTCAGGAGTCGGAGTGGTCAGAGCCTCAAGAGCCGATCCAGGTTGAGCCAGAGCCCAAGATGCATGCTGCTTCCCCCTTGAGTTCATCTCCCGCTCCTTGGCGTTGTGCTTGTTGTGACTCCCACGAATACTATGAGCTGAACTCCATTTGGACATGCAGCCGCTGTGCCTCCACCGACTTCTACCAGCCTACGAGGCCCATGAAACGGGTCACCACCAGCGGAACTTGGATGTTTGTCCCTCACCATGCCGATGGGTCTGAGCCTCAGGTTGCCAAAGCACGAACCCGGCGCCGTCGAAGAGCTCGGATGACCACGGGACCACCAGTTGGGCCGCCGAGTTCAGATGCTGGTGAAAGAGCTGAGTCGGAAACCCCGACCGTGGACCCTGTGACTGAGCCGGATCCTCATCCTAAAGCTCAACCAGGCCCAAGACTTCCACGGCCGCGACCACAGCGCCATGACCGAGCACTACAACATGACAACACCGCGAACGATGTGAACGCCCTTTCCGTCGATGCAGGCACCAGCCCAAAACCGGCAAGGCGACAGACCTCTGAAAGCTCCTCTTCATGGAATTCCAGGAAAGGGCCAGAGCCTGGAATCAAGTGGAAAAGCGGACAGTATCCACCTGTCCCTGTCTGGAAGTATGACATCCAGGACATGAGAGCCTTCGCCAAGTACAAGAAGAAAATAGCCATATGGCAGTTGCAGATGAAAGCTTACGCATCCCCTAAGGATCAAGCGCTTCTGGTTTACAACTCCCTCACGGGGGAACCTGAACAAGAACTCGAACATGTCCCGATCGACGAGATCTACGTGGACACCGGAGTCCAGAAGATTTTGGAGCTGCTTCAACGACCCTTTGAACAACGAGTCATTTACCAAAAACGGCGCTTCTTGCAAGATTTCGAACAGATGAGGCGCTATGCTGGTGAATCGATGCGTGCATATGTGTTGAGGTTCAGGCGGGTGCAACGCTCGCTCACCGCGGTGGGCGTCAACCTCGCTGCTACCTTTGATGGCGAAGCACTCGGCTCCAGGCTCCTCGACCGTTCAGGACTTTCTCATGCTGACCAACGGTTGGTCCTAGTGGGGACGCAACAAAGTCTGGAATTTGAGGCCATTGCAGAATGTCTTGTGCTGCATTGGCCCGAGTTTCGTGCGCCTCCACTTGTCGTGAACAAGGACGGCAAAGGAGTTGGCAAAGGAAGCAAGAGTGGTCCACCTCCTACTCCCTCTTCGAGCTCCACCTCATTCACTTCATCCTCACAGACTTCCAAAGGAAGCCAACGTGGTTTCCCACGCCGGCAGGCCTTTGTCGCGAATGCGACGGAGGGACCAGCCGAGGAGGATGAGTTCCTGGAGGCCATCGAGGAGGAGGCTGATTTGGATGCTGGGCCTGACGGCCAAGAGGACGAGCCGGCGGATGCCGGCGAATGTGAAGATGATGGAGAAGGCCAAGAGGCCGACGCAGACCTGTCTGAGATTGCGGACATTCTCACGGTGACCGCTCGGAAGCTTTCAGGAGTCACCTTGGGCCGGAAGTTCACGACCACCAACCCGTCGAAGAAGACCCGCCTTCCTCCGGATGAATTGAAGAAAATCACGCATTGCAGTGCGTGCGGGGGTCTAGGCCACTGGGCCGGGGATCCTCAATGTCCTCACGGTGCAAAAGGCGCCAAAGGAGGATCAAAAGGCAAGACGCAACAGCAGACCTCAGAGAAGGGTCAAAAGAATGCCCATGCCTCTTCGTCGTCTTCGTATCGGGTTAGTATGGTACATCATGATGGCGGAACCGACATCATTGAGCACGATCCCTCCGAAGAGTCTGGTTATGGTACTATGTTCACCATCAACATGATTGAGTGTGGTTCACCATTTTCAGTCCATGAGGTTCGCTGCACCCCCAAGGTTTTTGAGGGCATGATGATCATCGATTCCGCTTGTCAAAGAAATTGCTGCGGCCAAGAATGGTTTGACCACCATGTGGAGTACCTCAAAAGCTATGGCATGATCCCCAAGATCACGGAGTGCCACGAGACCTACCAGTTTGGAAAGGGATCCCCAACGGTTGCTACCAAGAAGGCATATCTTCCTTGCATCATTGGTGGACAGCCCCTGTTGCTTGGCGTGGCGCTCCTCCCCGAGAAGATTCCATTTCTTGGCAGCAACAGTTTGTTGGACATGTTGCAAACCAACCTTCGTCTTCCCGCACGTCGAGCCGAGTTCGAGCTTTTGGGGATTGATGTTGAACTTCATCAAGTTGCTGGGCACTTTGCCATCAAGTTGTTTGATTGTGATGTTTCTCAACAACCACATACATGGCATGTTTGGAAGCGTTTTTCACAACCTCATTTGTGGCGCTCACCTCATGCAGAGCTTCTTTTGCCACCGCCTCAGATGAGTGCCCAAGTGTCCGGCGCACTTTGCAATTCGCCGCGTAGGCCCTTGGAAGATGAGACAAGCGCCCCCGCAATGGCTGGTGGCGTGGAAAAGACTGGTACTCGCCATGTCCGGCTATGTCTCCAACCTGATCACCTACATGGCCAAGGCAGCAAGACTTCATCTGGTGCCACCAGATTTCCTCTCGAGGGCATTCCCACCTTACGACGCTCACCAAGTTCTCAGCCCGAAGGAGTGCGACCACCTCAAAGTGAAGAGACATGGGAATGCTCACGGCCGCTTCGCGACGTGTCTGGGCTGCAACATGAAGTGGCGATGGAACGCCGCGTGCGAGAACATAATGGGAGCCAAGAACTGGGTCACAAAGCTCCTCTACGCAGTTACAGCCATTGCCGGCACCCTCCTCAGCAACAGTCATGAAGGACTACGAAGTGGCTGCATTGAGCAAGAGCAAGGGCAAGAGCAAGCCCAAGACCAGTCAGAGGCGACCTCCCTACGCCCAGACTACATCCTCAGCGAGCTCTACGGCAACCACCTCCCGAATGTCCAATTGGACGAATTTCGACACATGGGACTTGAACGTGGACCACCTCCCAGCGGAGCTTCGGCACGAAGTCCATCTGATTTGCGAACAGGATTCACCACTGGATGCCGAGCCCAGCAACCTGGCCGAGTACATCTTCCTGAACGAGGAGATCCACGAAGCCGGCCGCAGAAAGATGGAACACACAGCCAATCAGAGGCGCGTCAGACGCCTGATCGAACTGGGAGTGATTGCCGAGCAGCCGGCCAACGAGGACGAGGACGAGATGTTCGACTGGTCCCTCCAGGACTAGCCAAACGCCTTCGAGGCATGTGGAAAAGGAGCTATGAGGTCCTCGAGATGGAGCACCAGACCTATCTGACCGGCAAGACCGTGGCTGAACGTCCACCTCCTCATGCAGACCTGTTTGAACTCTTTGCAGGAGATGCCACAATGTCCTTGCTGGCTCACGACTATGACCTTGTCGCCATGGAGCCCCAGGACTTGCTCTATGGCCAGAACTTCAAGGACAAAGCTACCAGAGACCGGATCTTCAAGACCTTGCGGAACTTCAAACCCTGGCTTGTGCCTATGGGCGTGGACTGCCGGCTCTGGAACCACTTCAGCAAGAACCTGAACTGGAGCTCTTATGACCGTCAAGAACGTCTTCAAGAGCTTCGTGATGAAGAGCGAGAATTCGTCCGCTTTGCGATAAAGGTGGCCAGAGAACAACTGGCACAAGGAAGATATTTCCTCATCGAGAACCCGCTCCGTTCAGATTTGTGGGCATTGGATGAGGTACAAGCTCTACTACAAGAACCTGGCGTATGGTCTACGACCTTGGATGCTGGAGCGTTTGGTGCTGAGATCAACGGTGATCCTATCATCAAGACCATGCGTTGGATTGGCAACCAACCAGGACTTGACCAAGCACTCCACCGACGCCTTTCTCCCTTGGAGCGCCAGTACTGCAAGCCCATCGAGGGCAAGATGACCAGGCCCTCTCAGGCCTACCCAGTGCTTCTCTGCAGGACCATCTTGCAGGAACTTCGTGGCCTGGTAGCGCAACATGAGCCACATCGTTTTGGACCACCTCTTCATCAGGTACTTGCAGTCTCACAGCCCACTGCATCTCTGTCACAGTGGGATCGGCTCACGGAGTACATCACCAACTCCTTTGAGCGATCAGCCAAGAGGCCATACTATGTTGACAGCCGCTCTGACATGGGCAAAGAGATCTCCAACCTCCTCCGCATGGACCTTGACAAGATCCAAGTCGTCTATGCACCTACCACCAGGAGGATTCCAGCTAACACCACTGGCTGGGCAACCAGAGCTGCATACTTGTCCTATGCAGATGGCACAAGAGCAATCGAAAGTGAAGATGTGGGTGACATTGTTTTTCCACGTCAACGGTTCTCCAAGCCTGTCACCTTTGCCATCTTTGCATTTGGCCACCGCTGGACTGTCCCAGATGCTGCATCAACATCAAGTACATCTACAAGCAACTTGGCAGTTCCAGGATTGGTCACGGACATCAGCTTCCCTGGAGCCACAGAGATCGCGCAGGATGTCAAGCGCGCCATTGCTCGGCTGCACATCAACCTCGGGCACCCGACGGCCCAAGAGCTGACACGCCTCTTGGCCTACCAAGGAAAGATCAGCACCTCAATCATCAAGACAGTGCAGCACCTTCAATGTGCTACATGTGAACGCCTCCGACTACCTCAACATCCTCGACCCGCAGCTATGCCCCGGATTACTGCTGGCCAGTTCAACGATGAGGTTCAGATGGATGTTTTCTATGGCCGCACCTTGACTGGAAGCACCTTTGGAGTGCTGGGCATTGTGGATAGAGCCACTGGCCTACACCAGGCCGTGATGATGGAGGACCGCACCTCGGAGAACATGTCGTTCACGTTGTTTGAGGATGCTTGGCTCAGACCATATGGGCTGCCAGTGCGCATCCGTTGCGACCCTGACACCAGCTTCAAAGGCTATTTTGAGCGGAAGCTGCAGAGCCTCGGTTGCGTGGTGGAGCATTGCCCCCCTGAGGCCCATCATGTGATTGGCATGGTGGAACGGAGGAACGCTGTGCTGCGGTTGACCTTGGAGAAGGTGATCGACCACATGGGCGTCGTCGACCGCAGAGACGTCCGAACAGCATTGACCTCAACAGTCCATGCTATGAACAACATGTGCTTCTCCAGAGGCCGCGCAGCTTATCAGGCAGTTTTTGGCCGTCAACCTCGACTACCAGATAGCGTGCTGGAGGACGAGACCGTCCTTGCTTCTTCTTCGCAGGTCTACAACCCTGTGGATGAGGAGACGGACAACCCACCTCTTCGAGCAGAGATGGCGCGTTGTGAGGCCATCAAATGCTTGGCGGAGTTGAATGCCAGCCAAGCCCTTCGACGGGCACTTCTCCGAAAGACCCGCTCCACCAAGGTCCCAGATGTCATGCCTGGGCAACGAGTCGCCGTCTGGCGATGGCAGAAGCGAGGAGCAAAGAAGAGAGGAGCCTGGACCATGTGCAGGTTTTTGTCCTGGGACCCTGGCAATCCTGGCCATCAAGCTTGGGTTCGATTGGGCTCGACAACAGTTCTCACCACTGCCGAACAGATGCGAACAGCCTTTGGCTTTGAGCAGTGGACACCGAATGAGGAGGACATCGCAGCCCTCAAGGACGCCACAAACCACTTCCAGGAGAGCCTCATTGAAGACCAAAGAGGTCCACCACCAAAGGAGACTGATGAGCTTCCAGCTGTGGACGAACTGGCCGACAACTTTGAAACAGGCACACAAACACCTGCAATGACTGCAGTGCCACCGACACCAGCAGCAGCAGCAGTGCCAGTAACACCAGCAATAGAACCGGCAGCTGTCCACGTCAATGTCGACAGCCCCACAAACATATACAGCCAGAAGCACACATCAGTCAATGTCTACCAACGTTTTGGAGATGTCCCTCCAACACCACCAGTACAGAGGAAGGCTCGCTCTCGCACACCACCACCGGCACGAGAGCTGAAGACACGCACCTTCCAACCGTTTCACCCACAGGAGCTGACCTTGGCTCCCACGACACAGCAGGCCAAAACATCGGCCCACGACACACCTTTGGCACTCCCATCACCAGCTGCACACTCTTCTTCAACTGCACCCGCTTTACCTGATGAAGCACAACACCAAGAACATGAAGAGACAGCAGCAGAGATGGATGAGCACGGCACTGAACAAGCACAACAGGCAGATCCAACATTGCCGGATCAACAACAGGCAGGATCAGCAAGCGAACCAAAAGCAGGGGACAACGAGCACGAACCTACAGGTGAGACAGCGGCAGCAGCAGAGGAGACATCGGCAGCTGCAGATACAAACATGCCTCTTCCAACACTTCCTCAAAAGAGGCCATTTGACACACTCATCACACTGTGGTCCGAGGAAAATGGCACAATTTCACGGGCGCCAAAGGATTGGGATGGCTCACCCCCGATCCTCTCCTACGGACCACCAGCACAGCACTGCTTCAGAGCATATGCTGCAACATACCAACGACAAACGGATGTCGACCCACTGGCAAGGACCCCAATGAGTCAGACACCACACAAGGGTCCAGCGACAGTGAACAAGAAAACAACAACAAAGCACACAAACCAAAGGTGATGACACGCCAAGAGTCCAAGCAACTGGACCGGGAAATTCCCTGGAGGCAAATCCTTCAGCTTCCACCATCGATGATCGACAAGTACTTGGCTGCGATCGAAAAGGAAGCTTCATCCTGGGAAGAGTGGCGATCGATCAGGCCATTGTCGAGAGAAGAGGCCTTAGCAGTTTACAAAGACAAGATGCTGCGCCACCGGATCATGAGGTCCAGAGCCCTCTACCGAGATAAGAATTGTGGACAAGGAGAGCTCCGAGCAAAATGCAGAGTGGTGTGCCTTGGACACCAGGACCCAGACCTTCAGCAGATCACCAGAAGCTCACCTACACCAGGACGGGTGACTGAAATGCTGCTGTATGCCCTCATCGTGGCAGGACAAAACAGGGAGCTGTTTGACACCAACCACCTCTGGTTAGCATGGTCAGGTGATGCTGCAACCGCCTTTTTGCAAGGTGAGCAGAAGGACAGCGAAAGGCCAGCACCATTGTACATGAAGGCACCGACTGACGGCCTCATCATGATGACTTCCAGATGGAAGTGTGACCTCTACCAGATCCTTGGCAACGTCTATGGATTGGCCAATGCTCCAGCACTATGGACTGGCGAGGTCACCAAGCGCCTGACAGGTCTCGGGTATGTCCGCCACTCCTTCGACCAGATGCTCTTTTACCTGGTCAATGATGCCGAACAGGTGGTCAGCCTGGTCATGATTTACGTTGATGATTTCTTAGGGCTCCACCGAGAGGATCATGACATTTCCTCCCTGCAGAAGCTCTTCAAGTGGGGAGAGATCCAAAGCTTCGGCCCTGGCAACAAGATCACCTTCAAGGGGAAGAGCCTGGAGATCACAAAGAATGAGGCTGGCCGCTACGTCATGGACATTAGCATGGAGAAGTTTGTCAGCGGCTTGACTCCAGGAGTGATCCCAAAAGGGAGGCTGAAGCAAGATGAGCTCCTGACCAAGGCCGAGTTTCAGGAGTTTCGCTCGATCTCAGGATGCCTTCAATGGGCTGCCACACAAGCCCGACCAGAAGTTGCTCCAGCTTTGTCACTCGCCAACCACGGCGACCTCACGAGCATCCACGACCTTCGAAGTCTCTATGAGGCCCTGGCCTACCTCCAAGAAAGCCCTTCAGAGGGCATCAGGATGCAAGCTGAGTATAGAGGGCACTATAGAGAAAAAGATTGTAAAGTGTCATGATGGCCTGTGCACAGCAGCTGCAATGGAGTACAGACAAATGTACTGCACTTGCTTCTGTCACATTTTACAAAATCACTATACTCAAAGGGCAGTGGAAGCTGATTGCAGGGCCAGAGTGCCTGCTAGCTGGGCGACTCAGAGCTCATAGCTGGATAGCTATATTGCTTCCATAGGATGAAGCTTGATGAAGGTATGAAGGTATGAAAAGAAAGTGAAAATCTTGTACATATGTTTTCAAGCACCTTTGTACATACTCCAGACATGATACAAGCTTCAAGCTGTCATGAGCATTTAATGGTCACCGGCCTCACGACGGAAGGATGCAAGACCAGGCCTGTCCCGTACAGCCTAGTCGACTGGCGCTCATCTCGGAGCGCAAGAGTCTGCCGATCAACCTTGGCAGCTGAGGCCTGTGGAGGAGATGAAGGAAGTGACCGCGGCTCCTACCTGAACATGTTCCTGAGCGAGCTGACACACGGGTGTCCAGCCCACAAAGCAGGGCTCCGCTTGAATTTTCTTCAAGCGACGGACTCAAAGAGTCTGTATGATGCTGTGGTTTCCCCAAATCCGTCCCTGACGGACCGCCGCTCGCTTGTCAACGTGCGAGCCATGCAGGAGTCTCTGACTCCCTTGAACATGCATTGGGTGCCGACATGGCTCCAGTTTGCAGACGGCCTGACAAAGGCCAGCGTGTCCCTGCGACAGACCTTCAGGTCTTGGTTGAAAGCCCCCTTTGCGGCACTAGCTGATCATGAGGACCTCCAAGAGTGGAAGGCAAGGTGCAACATGAAAAGAAAAGAGACCAGTGACAAAACCGTGCAATGACCTTCCTTGAGCATGTTTCATGTTGCACGCCTCAGAGGATCCTCGAGCCTTGTTACCCTTTTGCCCTGAAAACTGTGTCCTCGCAGCGCGGTTCATGGTTTTGACGAGAATAACTAACAAGTTATAACATGCGATAACATGTGCCGTGATAGCATGTCAGTTTGTACACATCACAGCACCACATCACCAGTTGCGAACAAGAAACATCATTTTACTTGGGATAAACAACATTTCAGGCGCCGCATGCATTCGAGCTCCCATGCCGGGGCCAAAAAATCACCTTCTTCTTCAACATGTGCCACCAAGCTGAACCTGTGGAGCTAAGATTCTTCAAACGATTCAAAGGGCGTCGGCAAACCTTTGGATAGAAGCTTCCTCCACAGAACTTGGGATGCTCTGCTGACACCGTTGATGCGACGAATATACCATCGGCTTTCTATGTCGCCTTTGTTGTGCGAGGGTGCTGAGAAGCTCACACAAGCTTCACTCCAGACTAGCGTGCATGTTGGACGTTTTGAGCTTTCGGGGGGTTAATGGGGAAGGTTGACATGGGCAGTTCTTCAACGTTTGCTGCTTTTTGAGCGCACGTCACTGAAAAATTCATCGTTTCCAAGACACCGCAACTGTTGAAACTGTCATGTGTCATATTTGTTTAAGCGGTTTATGCATGTTTGTGTTTTAAGCGACAATTGTCATGTGTTCCTTTTCCCAGTTCTCACCGATGGTCCTGTCGTGGAGGCGCTCTGTGAGTCTGGTGAGTCCCTTGGGGCCGGACGGAAGAGTTTGTTGAGTGATGGGCAAATGCACCACGTTCCAAGATCAGAATGCGTTTCTTTGCATTTGAATATGTATCCTTCCTATGAATTTGAAACTGGAATGCTTGTAATTCCAATTTTATCTTCTGTTCAATCTCTCGATACAGGACGAAAGCCATTTTTTGTGGTGCATAGTGTTGAGGCGAATGGGGCCTGAAGGAGTGTTCAACGGCATGCATCTTCCCACTTTGTACTCCTTAGTCCTTAGTCGAAATTCTCGAAGTTTGCATCGCAGGGTATAGTGACCACGCCGGTGTGACTTAAGAGCTTTGGGATGCCAGACATCCTAAACTCTCAGACGAGCTTGTGAAAGGAGTTGGGGCGTTGTGCCAGAAGTTAAGGCACGTTTCAGAACCACCCAGGTTTGTTGAACTTGTTCCTGTTTTTTTTTGAATTCCTTGTTCCTAGTCTTGGCGGTCGGCTTGTAAAGGCTCATGCGTCACGAAGCTGAGCCTTCGGCGGCCATAAGAGCTGCGGCCCAATTTTGGCGCATCAGGGATGAGGAAGCCGACTACTATGTCGAGCTTGAGGGGGACAAACGATGGGGAGGGCTTTGATTTGTTAACTAAAGTGGTGCCATAGATTTTCCTTTTAAGGTAATGGATTCTAGGCCTCGGCTAGGCTACTTGTAGCTGCCCCAGTTGGGGCAAACCATACCCCAGTTGGGAGTCCAGGACCTTCCAGGAATGGTGTTTGCATCCATGTGGGCGAATCAACATCACCCACGATTTGCCACCGGTGCATAGCGCTGTCCTGTTTTGCATAGCCAAAGGGGCTTGCCACGCCACCTCTTTCTTTCTAATTCGTAGGTGACACACTTGCCAGTTCGTCAAGATGTCATACTTCGTCATTGTACGAGTGGTGCGATGTTAGATTCTGTGGGCTCTGAGCTTCTATTTCGGAAGTTGACAGAGATGAAGAGATTTAGAAGCTCATGAGCTTTACCCAATGACTTCCAAGAGGCTAAGAAGACCACGCAGCAACAAATACATCCGTTCTTTCTCTGCAGTGATTCTACTTGCTCCTTGCATGATACTATGGCAGTTACTGTGGCCAACTTCCACGTTTGCACACAGTTTGCCCTCCTCTTGACATTATCCTCCCTGGTGCTGAATGGACGCCCCATGCGGGTGTTGACCGGCCTGAATTGTGTGCAGTTGGCCGAGCAGAGGGGTGTTGAAAAAGAGAAGAGACATCATTGGATATGTACAGCTTGGGTACAGGACCCATGTATGTGAGGCAAGCCAAATCAGGTTGAACATGCTGCAAGTTTTTTGACTTAGATGAAAGTCGCTGTAATGCCCTGGAGTTGGTAACTTGCTATGTCCTGAGACCACCAAGGTACTCCTTGATGCATTTTGGCTCCAGTTGCCAGTGCACACAAGATTTTTGGTATCTAAGTAGTGATCGTACAATATCGTACATAAGCGTTCCACGCATTGTTGTACCATGTCTTTTGTTTCCGTGAGATTCCTGCAAGGGTGCACTTGCTGCTTGTGCCGACATGACCACCATGGCCACTTCGAGCCGTTCCGTGATATGTTGCCTTCTCATCCTGGAACCTCGACCCCAAATGTTGAAGAGGTGGACGGAATCGCCACCAAGAACCCAATCCGATCATTCGCTGTGCTTTGAACATCCCTTCATAGCCTCGAACGTGCTGAAAGAAGACGTTTGCTTTTGGATAAGACTTGCAAGTTCAAGCTTGTGGGGGTTCCAAATGGGAATACAAGTTACCCTTGGCACGGATTCTTCCAAAACAGCTCAATTCAACGACTCGAGGTTTTTGTGAAGATGACACTCAGGCCCCATCAGGAGTTCTCGGCCACGGACAGCTCACAGTACCCTTGGTACGTGGTGATTCACAAGGGCGTCGAGAAAGTTATGAGCAGCGGGCACCTGTTTTTACCCTTGGAGGCACTTGGAGAATGTCAGCATGTCCAAGACAAGATTGAAAGGCTACTACGGGCTCCTGGCCTTACTACTAGGAACAAGAAGCTACTAGGGGCTCCT